TATTTTTTTTTTTTTCTTGTTTAATGGAGGTGTTTGCATACAATCCCCTTGTTAATAGGAAAACTGGAAGTACCTCAAGCCAACGAGGGAAACCAAGGGACCCTCTCGGGTGGTACTCGGATGCAACTTCATCCTCGCTGATGGTGGACTGACCTTCGCATACGATTTGATAAAACACCATGTCCTGCCCGCTTCGGTTTGTAATTTTCAAACTGAACTTGTCCTGGTTCTGGAGCACTATTCTGTTTGTACTGACAGTTGTCTCTGGAACAAATCGTAACGCTTCAAAACTGGACTTGATATCATCGTTCGAGCGGAGAAGTTCTCCCATTGCATGCCTCCTTATTGATCGGTCGACACGTGCAATTTCCAGATTGAACTTGCACCGTACAGGCTTATGATCACTCTCGATCACATCCATACGCGCATCATAGCTTTAATTCGAATTTACACAAATAAAAAAAGTTGAACGAAAATGAATGAGTAAACAGCACGGAAAATTAAGAGAGGCGAGGCGTACAGTAATATTGAAGCAACCACGGGGCACTCTAAACTACATGGTTCCATAGGAGATGCCCTATTATCTCTATATAGCACTCGATCACACCAAGCTGGGATTCTTTTCTTCTCACCAGAATCATAACCTAACATGGAGAAATTAAAAAAAGAAAAGTTCTCTTCATAAATGCTTTGAATAAATCGTCGAGAGAACAAATCAAACATTACTGGAGTTGACTTAAAAAATGGTCCAACGGATAAATATCGGTACTGAGCATCTTGGGACGGAACTAATGCACAAAATGAATGGTTTTTTTACCTCCTAATCCTGGTTTTCCTTTCTCAAACTTGTAAGTGGGAGGAAATCTGACGAGTGCCTCACGCATTCCTTGGAAGACTTTACCAGCTTTCATTTCCGCTCTCAGCTGATCTTTCTCCCGAAGCCAATCGAAGCTTCTTTGAGAAACAAAATCCCTTGCTTCATCATACGATATGCCAAACAGACGGTAATTAAAGTCCCCAAAGAATATAACCAAATCAGCTTCGGCAAGATCAGGCCTTCCTTCATCAGGGTTAACTGTTGTAACCTTTTAATAGTTAAACGACTACTGTTACTTGAGCCAGAATTAATAAATAATAAAATGGGAAAAAGGAAGAACTGACAC